CGTTGCCGCGGTGGCCGCAACGCATTCCCGTGATGGTAAGGCGTGCCGCCCCAAGGCTGGGCACGGCGGTGGTAGTGGAGGAGGGGGTGGAGGTGGTGTTGGAGGTGGTTCATCCGCTAGCGGTATTACAGACGAGGGGACTGGGGCTGGTGCCTCGGAGCAGCAGCCCCAGCGGGAGTAGCAGCAGGCGCAACAGCAGCAGCAGCAGCAGTTGCAGCGGAGGGTCGGCCACCTCCCGACTGGGTGGCCTGGCGCTGGTGGTGGTGGTGGTGGTGGCCGCGGTGTTCGTGCGCATAGCTCGACGTCGAGTGGTGGTGCGAGTGACGGGCGTTGCCAGTACCAGCTCCAGACCGGTCCTCGCCGTGGCCTCGGGTGCGGTAAGACCAGTCATACCCCCACTCGCTGTTTCACTTGCCTGGACCACCGGTTTCGTCTCCGCTTCGGCCCCGCGCCGGACCTCCCCGACGGGCACAGTCTGCTCCGCCGTGGTGTTAGGATCTTTGATATGGACATGGATGAGATTAGCTCTGCATTGTATGTGCTGTATATCAATGACTCTAGTGTGACTGGTTCCTATTACCCCCTGTTGCCTAGTGTAGGTCTCTCCAGTGTGCCTAGTTTAGGCTCCCCTGCTGCATCAGGCGTAGGACCCTCTGCTTTGTTTAGCCTTGGCTCCACCCTAGCTCCTCTGGCCCCAGCCGCCACTGTCGCGCTCTCCTTCACTCTCGACTCGGGCGCATCTCGGTGTTTCTTTCGGGACCACACTACACTTACGCCGCTCGCCGTCCCTGCCGCAGTTACCCTTGCAGACCCTTCCTCAGGTCCGGTAGTCGCCTGTTTTCCACCACTCTCCCCTGTCTGGCAGTTCCTTCGGGCTTTCTTACAGGATTGCACATCCCCTTGTTCTCTCGGAATCTAGTTGGTGTCGGCTGTCTTCAGGACCTCGGCGTCACCACTACGTTCCCTGGTCACGAGAGGTACGTTTTTTGTGCCGAGGCCGCCACTGGTGCCCCCCTCACCACGTTCCCCTAGGACCCGGTGTCTGGCCTGTTCATGCTGGACACCGCGTCTCCACCGATTGGGACGCCCCCCCGGGTGGCAGCGTCTACCCAGGTTGCTGCGGCTTGCTCGTGTAGGTCGCTTACTCACCCTTCACTTCTGTGGCACCACCGCCTAGGTCACCCCGCTCTCACACGTCTCCGTCACATGTCTCAGCACAGTCTTGTCTTAGGTCTCCCTGCGTCGTTCCCTGCGCTCCCCTCCTCGGCAACGCCTCCGTGCACCCCCTGCGATGAGGGCCGGCTTCGCCGTGCCCCTCACTCCTCCTCGTTCCCCCCCACCACTGACCGTTACAGACCCTGCACATGGACGTCTGGGGCCCCACCCCCGTCCATGGGCCACGTCATGAGCGTTACTTCCTAGTGCTTGTCGACGACTACACTCGCTACACCAACGTTTTTCCCCTAAAGCAGAAGGCCGACGTGACCGACGTTCTTATCCCGTGGCTTGTCTCTTTGCGTGTGCACCGAGGTCTCCTTGTGTTGCGTCTTCATTCCGATTGTGGTGGCAAGTTCGCCTTTGGCTGCCTCGGTCGCTTCTGTCGTGCGGAGGGCATCACCCAGACGTACACCCTGCCGGACTCCCCGCAGCAGAATAGGGTCGCTGAGCAACGCATCAGTTTGGTCATGGAGGTGGCTCGTACCTCCATGATCCATGCCGATGCACCCCATTTTCTGTGGCCGTTCGCTGTTCGCTACGCTGCCCACCAGCTTAACCTGTGGCCACACCCTTAGCAGCCGCACGTTTTGCCGACTCTCCTCTGGATCGGGTCTCCTCGTGACGCATCTGCGTTCCACATCTATGGCTGCCTTGCTCATGTTCGTGCCTCTGGTACGGACAAGCTCACTGCCCGCACCGTCCCCTGTGTCTTCCTAGGTTTCCCCCTTGACTCGTCTGACTGGCACTACTACCACCCGCTGTCTCACTGTTTCTTTCACTCTCGCGACGACACCTTTGACGAGTCCGCCTCCTTCTACCACCGCTTTCCCCACCGTGGTCCCCCCGGTCACTCCCCCCCAGTTCCTGGTTCTCCCCTCTCCCTCTGTCGCCCCTGTTCGCCCCCCTCCCCGCCCTGCCCCGTCTGGTGTGTCTCACGTCACCCCCCTCTCGTCGGTTGTCCCTGTCGAGGGGTCTGCTAACTCTCGCGGCTCGGCGGAGTCCCTTCCCCCGCCTGTCCCTGCCCCGGTCTCTCCTCCCCTGTCGCCGCCGTTGCTATCACAGCCGCAGCCGCCTCCGCAGATGCCATCGCCGCCGCAGCCGTAGCCGCCGTCGTCACCACCGCTGGGGTTTGTGCGTTCTCGGGGTGCTGGGGAGCGTGCTGGAGTGGGTACTGGAGCGGGTTCCCATTCAAGGGGTGCTGGTGTGGGGCTACACGGAGGGAGCCATGGTCATGCTAGAGGTTCTAGTGTTGGCGTCGGGCAGCAGTCATCGCAGACGCCGCCGGTGTCCGCTCTTCGCCTCCTCGGCCTTCCTTCTCCTTACCGCCCGCCGGTGCCTCATCGGTCGCTGCCGCCTCCTCCTTTCCCGGTCTACGGCCCCGTGTTTCCTCCCGTGAACTCTTCTCTAGCTCGTTTCCCTCCTCGTTCTCCTCCTGTGTCTCCTCCCCTCTCTCCTGACCCGACTCCTCCGTCTCACGCCTGGTCTCGTCGTCCGTCTCGTGCTCGTCCTACCTCCCCTGTTCCGCGTTCTCACCCTATGTTGCTTCGCTCCCACGGGTCTTGTGCTCCTCCAGTCCTCGCGTCTCCTCTGTCATCGCTTGCTCTGGCCCTCCCTCCGTTTTCTGACTTCCTCCATGCCGCGCATCCCTTTGTTCCTCGCGTCCTTGCCTCTCTTGTTACAGATCCGTTTGTTCCTGTCTCGAGTCTGTCGGCTCTTGTTGCTTCTCTCACTGACTTCGCCGCTACCCACCGCCTTGACTACGCCACCACTCTGGTCTCTGACCATGCCTGCCCTCCGTCCGCCAGGGGTGTGGCTGCCCTTGGCAGTGACGTCCTAGAGGACAGACAGTACGAGCTTGCTTTCCTGCCAGAGGCCGCTCCCCATCTTTGTTCCATGCTGCTAGTTCCTAAGGGTGACCCAGACGCCCTTGACATCTTGACCCTTCGCACCTACGCTAAGACCACCTTGGGACCTTGGGCCTCTCAGTGGATAGCTGCCATGGAGCAGGAGATGGCATCTTGGAGGTGCACCGGTACCTTCGTCGACGCAGTTCCCCCACCTGGGGTGAACGTAGTTGATGGCCGATGGCTCTTCAAGGTGAAGCGCCCTCCTGGAGAGCCTCCTGTCTTCAAGGCGCGCTTCGTTGCTCGTGGCTTCAGTCAGCGTGAGGGGGCTGTCTTCTTTCAGACCTTCGCCCCGACCTTGAAGATGACTACTCTTCGGGTACTGCTACATGTAGCAGTACAGTGTGACTACGAGATGCACTAACTCGACTTCTCTCCAGCTTTCCTCCAGGGCAGTCTACACGAGCAGGGTTACTTGCACCACCCCCAGGGCTTCTCCGGTACCTTTCCCCCTGGTATTGAGTGGCTTCTTCAGCGCCCTGTCTACAGCGTGCGCCAGGCGCCCCGTGACTTGCACGACACACTGCGTGCTACACTTGCTGGCCTGCAGTTCTTCCCGTTGTCTGCGGATCCCTCGCTCTTCGTCCGTTTCGGCCAGACTCCGTTCTACATCCTTGTTTACGTAGACGATCTGGTCTTTGCTACTGTAGACAAAGACGAGCTGGCCTCCGTAAAGGCCGAGCTGCTGAGGAGACACACCTGCACTCACCTGGGAGATCTGCGCCGCTACCTTGGCTTGCAGATCTCCAGGGACAGAGCAGCGTGCACCATCACTCTCACACAGTCACACTTGGTGTGCCAGGTCCTTCAGAGGTTCGGCCTTCAGTTCTCTTCCGCACAGCCCACCCCTCTGCGAGTAGACCACACAGACTCTGTGCTCCAATTCTGGAGGAGGCTGTAGAGCCTAGTGGTCCTTACGCAGAGCTGGTGGGTTGCCTCATGTACCTGATGACTTGCACTCGTCCAAATCTCGCATACCCTTTCAGCATCCTGGCCCACTTTGTGGCCTCCGGCTGATACCGACCACAGCACTGGTCGGCAACTAAGAGGGTTTTGCGTTATCTAGCAAGTACATCGGGCATGGGGCTAGTGCTAGGATGACGCAGACCAGTGGTCCTTACTGGGCACACAGACGCTTCTTGGGCAGACAACGCCTAGACTCTCAGGTCCTCCCAGGGCAACTACTTTAGCCTTGGTGTAGGTGCTGTCTCGTGGAGGTCCACCCGCTCGTCGTCTGCTGCCCAGTCTAGCTGTGAGGCTGAGATCTACGCAGGTGCCATGGCGGCACAGGAGCTCCGTTGGCTGAATTTTTTGCTCACAGACTTGGTGAGCAGCCTAGCTCTGCCCCGGTCCTGTACGCTGACAACAAGGCCATGATCCTCATGTGTCAGGAGCCCAGACTTGAGGGCAGAGCAAAGCACATCCAACTGCGGTACTTCCTCCTGCGCGATCTACAGCAGTGTCGCTGGGCCCGCGTAGTACACTTGGCCTCCGGTGCCAACACAGCTGATATCTTTACGAAGGCGCTTGCGCCTAAAGATTATTAGCGGCACTGTGTACAGCTTGGACTCATTCCTGTAGCACCTCATTTGCTAGGACCTTGATTGTGTATAGCTCTTTATATATTATCCTGACTGGCCTTGTGGCTCCCTCCCAGTGGCTGGACTAGTAGTGCCGCCCTGGTCTTGTTTGTACTCTTTTGACTGGTCTTTAGACCTGTGCCTCAGAGGTTGGACTAGTAGTGCCACCTTGAGCTGTTTGTCTCTCATCAGGCTCTGTCCCTATCTAGTCTAGGGGGTATGTCAAACATATCTGTGTATGTTTTCTAGACTACATAGGGTCTTGCCATAGAGAGTTCAACCCACTAGCTATATACCCCTGTATACTCTCATTCTATTCAATCTTTCTAGCTCTGAGACACCCCCCCTTCTGGGATGAGACTACCCACATCCGGGACAAGTCGACATTGTAAATAATCCTGGACGACTTTGTGTTCGCCTAGCATAGCTGTGGGGACCCAAAGATCGTCGTCGGTTGTGCGATCGACCCATCGTACAAGGAAATCAAGCAGGACCAATTGCCCAGGAGCAAGTGCTAAGTCTCGGCGTCGTCGGTCAGCTTGATGCTTAGCCCTCTGGTTGGCTTTGAGGATGGCATCGGCGGCTTTTTGCTGAGTCTGTCGGAAATTTTCGACGAACTGCTGAGACCTTGGTGCCGGATTTTCTATCGGTGGCAATAGAGGGGTTGTCCGGTCTATCCCGTGATTAAGGAAGAATGGGGAATGAGTAGTCGTGGCCGATGGGGCGTTGTTGTACGCAAACTCGATCAAGGTAAGGGCGTCTTCCCATTGGGTCGGGTCTGTGCATGTCGTGCGAATTAGCTGCTCCATTGTCTGATTGGTGCGCTCAGTCTGGCCGTCCGATTGGGAGTGGTATGCCGTGGACATATGCAGACGTGTGCCGTACTGCTGCCAGGTTTTTGTCCAGAAGTTGGACGTGAACCGTGGATCACGATCGCTGATGATTTCCCAAGGAATGCCGTGTGCCTCCTGGATCAGTAATTCCTGTAGGGTATGGTAGGCGGGAACCCAAATCCGATTGGTACCGGATTTTAGGTTATAGGCCCCTTGCTTGACCGTTAGTTGGGGATGACTGTTAGTGGTGAAGAATGGGTCGGTACTGTATGCGTGGGTGAATAGGCCAGTTAGCAGCGGATAAGCTTGGGTAATTAGGAGTGCAGCGGTGTTGACTGAAGGGGGGGTCAGTGCGTCGGCGATATTGCTAACTCCCTGTTTGTAGGTGACTCTGTAGTGGAAATTGGACTCGAGGTAGTCGAGCCAGTGAATCCGTCAGGGATTCAGTGTCGGTTGGGCGCGGATGAACTGTAGCGACTTATGGTCTGTTCGGTCTGCCACGTCAGCGCCCGTCAGATAGCAGTGCCAGACTTTGAAAGCGTGAACGATGGCGAGTAACTCGTCGTGGACATGATAATTTCGCTCGGCCGGGTTCAGCTTTCGTGACTTGTAGGCGATTGGTTGTAGGCCTTCACCGAAGTCTTGTAACAATACTGCGCCAACGGCCAGATCACTAGCGTTGGTGATAAGCTCGAACGGATGGTGAGGATCTGCAATCCGAAGAACAGGAGGTGTCGTCAGGAAAAGTTGCTCCTGCTGTTCTTCCCCCCACTCATAAAACGTGCCCTTCTTCAGTAGATCCATGAGAGGGGAAGTGACCCCCGCCATGTCCGGAATGAAACGGCTGACATAATTCACGAACCCCATAAAACTCTGAAGTTCACGGAGATTAGCCGCGGCTTCCAGTCTTGTATCGTCGCGATTTTCTTGGGGTCGATTTTAACTTCGTCGATGGAAATTACGTGGCCCAAAAACTCCCGTTCGTGGAGCTCTGATACCAGCTGTTATGAATTAATCAGAGCAATAACAGGTAGTGTAATAAAGGAGTCGTGATTCAAGAGTGTCGATACAAATGAGGGCCTAGGCATTTATGGGCACTAGCAGAGCTAGCCGAGAACCACGCGAACAGGTTGGGGCAGCCGGTTGGCGAAAGCCACGGAAGCGCCGCGCGTCTAGGTTTGGGTTCACGAAATGGTTCGGGACCGAAGAAGTTGGCCGAGCCTGGACCTCCGAGAGTCGAGGGCGTACGTACTGTAGTCGAGCCCATTAAGGAAAAAGGAATTTGCTTACAGTATAACGCCTGGATATAAGACCCCCTAGTAATAGAAGACCCTGGGTGTTCTATTAGGCGCATATCTTGTGGTAACCCGACTTTTGGCCACTGGATCTAGGACCGTATGTATTATTTCTCAACGGTATGTGATAATAATCCATGGAATTATTATCACATACCGTTGAGAAATAATCACATGGGTATAAGACCCACCCATGTGATTATAATAACATTTTTATACACCATTTGCTTCGGGCTAATACGGATAGAACCATGTGATTATAAGACCCATGGGTCTTATATCCGGGCTAATACGGGTGTATAAAAATGGCGGATTGCAGTGAAAAGAGGGGTCGGCTTGGTTTGCCTTTGTGGGTGTTCCCAATCTTGGATGCCCCAAATTTGCACCATGCTCTCAGAGTAATGAATTTTCTCGAATACAAGATATACGGTAGTTTTGTGCTAGTGTTGTACTCTCTAAGAGCCTTCTGTCAACAAATATATTTATATAGCTTAGTTAGGTCATATTTGTTTATAGCGTAGCTAGTTTAGTTCTTAGTGAGTACAGCCCTAGTTTTGTATCCCTCGACATTTTCCCTTAATCACAACTTTCCCGCTACTCTAATATGGTATCAGAGCTAGGTTAGGTTTTTTTTTTTCCGCCTAGCCCCTGCCCACGACACGCTCCTCGCTTGCCACTCCTCTTAGCTCACCCTTGACCTCTTCTCCACCTCCCTGACTGAGGTAGAGGACCGCCTTTGCGCCATCGCTGGTTCCGCTGGCGCGCCGGCAGTTCCTATCTTTCTGGGCAGCGCTCCCTCCCAAGTTACAGTCCCTGCCTCCGCCTGTGTTGCTGAGACCGCAGCAGCTACTTCTACCCCCGGCCGCTCCTCTAGCGGCAAGGGCAAGGGCAAGGGGGGCAAAGGTCGTGGGGGGTCAGCTGCAGCGGGTTGAGGGCGTGCGGGTGCGGATGCTGAGGGTGGTCAGTCAGAGTCGGGGACTGCGCAATAGCCGCAACAGTAGCAACAGAAGTAGCAGCAGCAGCCGCAACACTCGTGGGGGCCGGCGGGCCCTGGGGTTGGTGATCGTGGTGGAGGCCGTGGGGGTTGGGGTCCAGGGCAGTCGGGGCCCTGGGGGTCGCGTGGCTCTTCTGTGAGTCCGGGTGCTGGTGGTTCTGGTGGCGCGGTGACCTGCACGTACCAGCTGCTGATTGGCTTGCAGGCGGGCTAGGTGTGCCAGCGCGCAGGGCACACTGCCGCTCGCTGCTTCCGCCGCCTAGACGACCTCTACCATCGTCAATTCGGCCCGCTGGTGCAGGTACGGCCCTGGCATGTCTTGCTTCGTCGTGGGGTTCCAATCTTTGATATGGATATGCTTTAGATCGAGATGGATATGGATATGCCTTATATTCTCTGTATTCTGATGCTTCTAGTGTTGCTAGTTCTTATCATCCTTCTGTTTGTAGCCTTGGAGCTACTGCTGTGTGTAGTCTAGGATCCCCTGCTGCGTCAGGCAAAGACTCCCCTGCTGCGTCAAGCGTAGGACCTGTTAGAGACTCTTCATAGGATTTCGCCACGTCGGCCCTCTCGTTTGTCCTAGACTCTGGCACGTCTCGGTGCCTTTTTCGAGACAGTACTTCTCTCACCCCGCTTCCTGCGCCTGTCCGCGTCGCATTGGCAGAGTCCTCCGCCACTGTTGCACGTAGCACCACCACTCTTCCCTGTCCTGCTGTCCCTTCTGGCCCCCTCACTGGTCTGCACATCCCCTCGTTTGCCAGGAACCTAGTGGGTTGATAAATGTGTAGTTTTCTGTGGTGTAGTTTGCTCTAGCTGATTGTGGGCTATTGGGATTTGGGCAAAAGATGTGGGTTGGTTGGCTAGGTTTGATCTCGTTACCTTTCCAACCCATACAACCCCAAACCCACTACAACATCTTTGATGTTGCAGACGTGGCACTTGGGAGTGTTAGGGTTTGGTCCAGGGCGAGGGTTGGTGGTGTTTGACAATCTCATTCTCGAACTTTTCCAGATCGAACTGCTTCCCTTCTCGTTTTTACTAGGTGATTCATGGCTGCCTAGCCAAATTACCAGAATATCCCCTCACACTGATTTCGTCATAATCGGCGGCTCAGATCTTGGTTATGAACGTGCTTTACCATTCTGGAAAGTAGAGATTAAGACCTTTCCAACGCGTATAAGCTCATTTATAGAAGTTACTTGAGCTGCACGCAATGTTCTGTTGAGATCGTCAAACTTAATCTCTAATTAGTTCTCTCCAGATTTGCACGATTTCCATCAGTGGTATCAGAGCCACGGTTAGAGGACGTTCTTTCCTCCATTGGAAGAGATCTAGAGAGGCTTGTAGTGCTCCAGATCTAGGGTTTGACATGGCCCAAAAGTTGGATGGCCCTCCTAGGTTTACCGGCTCGGACTTTTCGCTATGGAGGTTCCAGTTCACACTATGGCTAGGTATTAAGGACCTAGAAAGTGTGTTGGATGGATCGGAGAAGCGACCACGAGCTGACTCTGGGGAGGCGTCTACTGGAGCAACCAGCCAAGTGGGATCCGGGGCTGGGGGAGCGTCGTTGAGTGGGGTGAAGGAAGGAGGAACTGCTGCAACTCGAACCGGAAGGTCGCAACCAAGTAGCGAGGAGTTGCTCAAAGCTCAAGAAGCATGGGATCGGAAGGATCGCCAGGCTTTTCAGTACCTGTGTTGGGCTTTGGAGGGGCAACTTGAGCTTCTTAAGATGCTGATTGACCTGAAGGGGAAGGAAGGTGCAGCGGCTGCAGCTTGGAAAAGAGTACAAGATAGGCACTTGCAGAAAGGGCTTCTAAGCGTGCTTACTTGGCGGAAGCGGTTTTACACCATGGAGCGGAACTATGGGGAGGGGGAGACCATGGTTCAGTATCTCCAGAGGGTGGATGAGAATGTGCGGGCTTTGGAGGAGCTGGATTACACGGTAGATGAGAAGGAGATCATCTATACTGCGCTCCAAGGGTTGGATCAAGCGGCTAATGAGGCATTACTACAGTACCTTCACTCGAGCAACAGAAATGGACCAAGGTGTGGATTTGGGAGGTTATAATTTCTGATGAGGCTTGCAAGGTTGATGCTGGAAGAGGTCTAGAAGGAGGCATGGGTGCAGCAGATAAAGCTTCCTTCAGGAAAGGCTATCAACAGCAAGGAGGTGGGGGGAAGAAGAAAGAGTTGGACAAATGCCTTGTGCCCGGATGCAACAAAAAACACTCTTGGAAGAGTTGCTGGAGTAGGCCTGAGGGATGGAAGCCTCACGGCTACTCTGGAGAGGCCCCACCAGTGACCAAACCTGATTGGGTGGAGAAAAGGATGAAGAAGGGGCTCTGGAATAAGAAGGGCAGCAAGGGAGCAACGGCCGCAGCTGCTAAGGATGAGAAGGGGAAGGGCCAAGACGACTCCTCCGATGATGGTTTCTCGTTTCTCATGCTAGGGCAGGATGCAGCTCTCGCTGGTCGTGCATTGGCTGATCCCAACTTCCTGGTTCTAGACTCTGGAGCAACATCTGGGATGCTTCCTCGCCGTGATCTCTTCACCTCCTACCATCCTCTCCCACCAAATTCGAGGAACGTGATTGTTGGGAGCGGAGATTTGCTGCAAGCAATTGGCATCGGCACGATCACCATTAAGGGGAAGGAGGGGGAGCTAGTGGGTGTGAAGGGGGTCCTTCACGTCCCTGGTTTGGCTGCAAACCTCCTTTCATGCTCGCAGCTGGCTAAACAGGGATACATCTGCACTTTCACTGAGGGAGGGTGTACTGTTAGAAAGGGTGAAGCTGTGGTGATGGAGGCAAAGCTGGACAAGGGTTTATACCTTGTTCCAGCTTGTGTGCCTAATTGTTACAAGGCACATATGGTTTTTTCTGAGGAAGCCGCTTGTAGCACTCGCTGGAGGCAGGTGGAAACGGTGTCACCTGAGTTGCTACACCTTCGCATGGGGCACGCGGGGAAGCAGCAACTGCTGGAGTGTGTGAAGAAGGGGGAGCTGAAGGGGGTGGAGGTCAAGGAAGGAGCTGGGCAGCAGAGCAAATGTCCCGACTGCACGTCTGGAAAGCTGCCTAGAACCTCATTCCCTATCTCCTCTGATCATGCCTCGACTCCCCTTGAGCTGGTGCACACGGATGTGTGTGGACCGATGCAAACTCCTGACCGGGAAAATGGCAACAGATTCTACCCCTCAGCCAGCCACGCAGGCCGATGCGCGTGATGATCAGCCGGAGCAGCATGTGCCTTCAACTCCATCGAGAAGCAGTTGGCAGCAGTTGTTGAACCAGCAGCTGTCCAAGACTCCAAGGACTCCAATGAAGAGGGTGACTTGGGAGGAGAAGCTGCGGAGGCTGGAAGAAGGAGAGGCAACACCTCTGCGACGCAGTGCTCGAATTTCCCAGCCACCTGAAAGGTTTTCACCGGGGCACATTGCACGCATGCATGATCATCTTGTGTCTGATTTGGATGATTGCATGCTTGTGGACATGCATGGGCATGAGTATGCTCTTGATGTGTGTCTAATGGGTCAGGTGCATGAGCCTAGGTCAGTCCATGAGGCGCTGAACCGTCCCGAATGGGTTGAGTCTATGCATGAGGAGCTTGAATCTCACAAGGTAAATGGATCATTTGAGCTGGTTGATCCAGCCGTGGTACCACCTGGTTTGGAGGTCCTCAGGTGTCAATGGGTTTGGAAATACAAGCATAACCCTGATGGTACTGTTGAGAGGCCTAAGTCCAGATTGGTGGTGATGGGAAACACGCAGAAATTGGGAGTACACTATGAAGAAGTGTACTCTCCAGTTGGGAAGCATGCGACCTTGAGAGGTATGCTTGGAATTTCAGCTGCTTTGGGGCTTGATATCCATCATATGGATGTCAAGACAGCCTTCCTCCATGGGGATTTGGAGGAAGAGCTTTACATGCGGCAGCCCCCTGGTTTTGATGATGGCTCTCACCGAGTGTGTCGCCTCAAAAAGTCCATTTATGGGCTAAAGCAAGCCCCACGACAGTGGTACCTAAAATTTGATGAGGCTCTCATGGATTTTGGGTTTGAGAGATCTGAGTGTGACCCTGCCTTGTACCACTTTGTGAGAGATGAGGAGCGGATCTCCTTATTCCTCTATGTGGATGACCTTTTGCTCCTATGCTCTAGCAAGGCTTTGCTAGATCGAGTGAAAGACTTCTTGTCCTCGCGTTTTCGCATGAAGGACTTGGGGGAGGTGAAGTACTACTTGGGAATGCAAATTGAGCGTGATGAGAGTGGTATCTTGATTCATCAAGAGAGGTACATTCTTAACATGCTTCAGTCCTTTGGTCTCTCAGAGGCCAACCCCGTGCGTACTCCTCTCCCAACAGGCTTTGATGTGCATGCCTATGAGGATGAACCCTTGCTGCGAGATGAGCTGGTCAAGCTCTACCAAAGCATTGTGGGATCCCTCATGTATGCTTGTACTACCACACAGCCACAGATTGCCTTTGCAGTCTCACAGCTATCTAAGGTCGCCTCTTGTCCTAAAATGTTTCACTTGCAGGCCGCTAAGAGAGTGCTGAGGTACCTGAAAGGTGGTGTCAAGTCAGGTATCTTCTTCCAAACACAGCCTCAGTCTCAGGTCCAGCACCGGTTAGGTCACCCTGCGCTTCCGCGTCTTAGGCACATGTCCCAGCACGATCTAGTCATTGGTCTCCCTGCGTCGCTACCCACCCTGCCTCCGCCGGTAGCACCACTGTGCACCTCCTGCGTCGAGGGCCGGAAGCGTGCCGCCCCTCACTCTTCCTCGTTTCCATCTACCACAGTGCCGCTACAGATACTGCACATGGACGTCTAGGGCCCTGCCCCGGTCTATGGTCTTAGCCGGGAGCGCTACTTCCTAGTCGTCGTTTACGACTTCTCGCGGTTCACCACAGTGTTTCCCGTTGGAGCGGGAGTCCGACGTGCCTACCGTTCTCCTCCCGTGGCTTCTTGCTGTTTGCACCCACCGCCGCCTACCTGTAGGTCGCTTATGTTAGGATTAAGGACAGAGTCTAGGTGAACTTAGGAGCTAGAATTACTCAAAATATAAATCCGAAATTCTGGACAGAAAAGTCGTCTTCACAAGAAACGACGTCGACAAAACACTAGCCGTTGGAATGTCGCGAAACTTGGATATGTTGTAGCTCTTGATCTCAGCTACCGTTCCCAATTTGAATCACGTTGATTGATGAAGTATTCGCGACGCTATGGCTTTCGACGCACTAGGGGGTAAGCTGTAGGAGGAGAACTTAACTCAATCTCAAGAGTTCAATCAAAGTTCAAGAATCTCACAAGGAATTAGAAGGAGCAAGAGAAAGGTTGGGATAGAAGAGAGGGATGAGAGGGAAGGTCCCAAGAGAGTCCCCAACCAAGGAAACCCCATAAGCACAAAGATTCCCTCCCTATAGGAACCCCAACTTTGACATTTGTCCCTTCCCAACCAATCCATCCAAGTTGGCCACCCTTGCCAACCTAGCTTGGTTGTTCCCAACCAATTTGCAGCTGTTACAGTAGAGTGACGAATTTCCCCAACCCCAAAGGTCCCAACTCCATATAAAGTCACCCCACAACTTCACTTTGTAACCGCCGCAATTGTAACGCAAGCTCATGAACTTTGAATCTTCATAGCTTTCGCGTTGTTGCTCCAATTGAAGAGATTCTTGTTGCGTCGGAAAGATCTTCTCAAGATCTATCATCACAAATACCTGCTCAAACAAAATAACACATAACACATTCCCAAACTCCAGAACACACACCACACAAATGCTTGCACATTCAAACCACACATGCAAGTTGAAAAAACATGGGATGGGAGGCAGACAGAATGTGATAGCATATGATGACATCACACAACAATCTCCCCCTCTGGCTGCCAACCATCATCCACCATACCAACATCTCAAGCATGCATACTCAATGCACACTCATCCCAGCAAGCTTCATGCCCTTCCAATGATCCGCCTCCGCCAGACGCTTGGTGAAAATATCTGCTGCCTGCTGATGGGTCTTCACTATCTCCAGCCGCACCTCCTTATCAAGGAGTCTCCTCACCCAATGCCACTTAGGCCTTATGTGTTTTGTCAGCCCATGCAGACAAGCATTCTTGGCGAGCTTCACAGCGGACTCATTGTCACAAAACACAACTGTCGGCTTCTCCTGACCAACTCCCAACTCCTCCAACAAACGCCTTAGCCACACTACTTCCTTGGCCCCATGGTGTAAGGCCATGTACTCAGTCTCACATGAGGACAATCCCACCTCATTCTGCTTCTTGCTGCGCCAGCTCACAGCACCACCTCCTAGCAAGCACACATAACCCCCAATGCTGGTGCCATCCGCTTTCACTGAGTTGAAGCTAGCGTCAGTATAGCAACTCAAGAGCATCTCTCCACTCTTCACATCTGCAGCACCTCTCTGCAACCGCTGCCTCACTCCACTGTACTCCAATCCCACTGATGCCGTAGCGCTCACATAGCGGACCAACCTCTTGGCCGCTTCCAGCTGCTCATGACTAGGGCGTGAGACCACACTAGCCAATCGTGATGTAGCAAATGCAATGTCAGGCCGTGTATGATTTGCAGCATAATTCAGCGACCCAACCATCGAATGAAACAGCTTCCTGTCACTATCACCCACTACCTCCTCATCAGCACATGGCTCCACAGTGAACCCCGAAGGTAGTGGTGTTGCTGGCTTTCCCCCATCTTGCAGCCCATACTTCTCAGCCAGCCCCTCACAGTACTTCCTCTGGTGCAACCTCAGCACACCCTTTTCCACATCTCTCTCCACGTGCATCCCCAAGTAGTACTTCACCTCACCCATCTTGGAGCACTTGAACTGCATCTCCAGCATCTGCTCTGCGCTGTCCAGCAAAGCAGTGGATGCAGAAAAGAGAAGGATATCATCCATATACACCAAGAGCATGAGGATTTCGTCCTTCTCCTGCAGCAGGAACAGGCTGGGGTCACACTCACTCTTCTTGAAACCCCCAGCCAACAGCGCCTCCTCCAACTTGTGATACCATGCACGAGGCGCCTGCTTAAGGCCATAGATGGCCTTCTTCAGCCTGCAGACCCTGCCGCTCCCGTCATCCAGCCCCTCTGGCTGCTTCATGTACACCTCCTCCATAATGATCCCATTCAGAAAGGCAGTCACAATATCCATCTGCCGAATCTTCCATCCCAGGAGTGCAGCTATCGCCAACAGCACCCTCAGTGTTGTTCCTTTCCCCACAGGAGCAAACACCTCATCATAGTCCTTCCCTTTTGTCTGCTGAAACCCCCTTGCCACAAGCCTGGACTTGTAGCGGGTCAGCTCCCCTTCAGGTCCATACTTGTGCCTGTAGATCATCTTGGAAGTGATTGCCTTCTTTCCAGGAGGCAAGTCACACAGGTCCCATGTCTCGTTCTCAATTAGGGACCCGAACTCCTCATCCTCACTCGCCTTCCACTTCTCCCCATTTGGTCCATTCAAGGCCTCCTCTCGAGTCTTGGGCTCAGGGATTGGTGCCCAGTAGCAGTGAGCGATCTCATCTTCCTCAATCTGCTCAACCACACTCCCAGCCTGCACCACATTTGGCTTGCCTCTTCCCCCATAGGTCAGCCTCACAGGAGGGCGCACATCCCTCCTAGGTCGCTCAGGCGGGTGTGGAACTCGAGGTGGAGACTCATGTTGCTGTTGCTGCTCCACTTCAGCTGCTCCCCCTTCTTCAGTCACCCCAGATATCTCCTCCTCAGACACTGCAACCTCCACCTGCCTTGAAGGCTGCTGCAACTCATCTGCCTCCACAATGAGTGGTGTAGATGGAAGCTTCTGTTGCTGCTGCTTCCATTCCTTATAGTACAGGGACTCAAGAAACTTCACATCCCTTGACACTGTCAGCTTCTGGATGGTCAAGTCCCATAGAAGCCATCCCTTGTGATCCTTTGCAATCCCCAAGTGCACACCCCATCTTCCAGAAGCCTCCAACTTCCCTCTTTTCTCCTTAGGCACATGAAACACTACCATGCACCCAAATGCCCTCAGCATGTTCACCGCTGGAGCACTCCCATACCACTTGGCATATGGGATCCACTCCTTATCTCCAACTGTAGCCAGCACCCTATTCTTCACAAGGGCGACCTGCCTCAGTGCAGACACCCAAAACGGATCAGGTAGCCCTGCACGCCCAAGGAGAGTGCGTGCCCCCTCCTGCAGGGTCCTGTTGAACCTCTCAGCCACGCCATTCTGCTGCGGGTTGTAGGGCACTGTCAGTTGATGCTGGATCCCCTTCCTCTTCAACTCCCCCTCAAAATCAGCTCCAATGAACTCCCCACCATTGTCACTACGGATCACCTTCACCTTGTGTCCGCATTCCCTCTGAGCTCTAGGCATCCACTCCTTAAGGACAGCCGCTGCCACCTCCCCCTTGCTCTTCAAAGGGTAAACCCACACTGCCCGAGTGTGGTCATCCACAATTGTCAAGAAATAGCGGCTGCCTGAGAGGGAAGGGGCTCTTGTGGGCCCCACCACATCCATGTGCACAAGTGCAAGTGGGGTCTTGGCTGGTCCTGTAGTGCTGTTGAAGGGGAACTTGGAGAACTTGGTCTCCAAGCATGTAGGGCAGCTCCCAATCTCCTTCACTCCCCCTTTCACCTCCAAGCCCTTCAGGCTCCCATCCTTCACCAACTTCTGCAGCATAGGGAAGTTCACATGACACAGCCTCTCATGCCATGTCTCCCAATCGGCCTCTCCACTCCTTGATGAAGCCTTAGCCCATGCCGCACTCGCATCCACACCAGCAAGCACCTCACCATGTGTCTGCTGCTGCTGCACTTTCTTGACTGCTTCCAGGACCCCATCAGTTGGTGCAGTTGCATCTCCTCCTGCTGTTGCCTTTGCCGCTGCTGCCGTTGCTGCTGTTGGAGTCTTCCCATTCCATGGGATGATGGGCAGCTGCCACAGGTCCTTGATGCAGCTGGTCTCCTCTTCCAGACTCCACAGCACCTTCTTCCCAAGCTTAGCACGGCAGCTGGTTGGTCCAAAGGTCACTTCGGCCTTACTCTTCTGCAGTCGCCGCACAGAGAGAAGGTTAGCAGACAAGCCTTTAACCAGCAGAACATTCCCAAGCCCCACAAGCTCCCCATTAGCTCCCTTAACCTTGGCATTCCCAACACCAATCACGGGGAGCAAAGCACCTGACGCTGCTGCCACATACTTAATCTTCCCAGGGGGTTTTACCTCATCAAGCAAATCTGCCCGTGGAGTCATGTGACTGGTGCAACCCGAATCAATCACCCAGTGCGTGAGAGGGTGCATCACAACCTTTCCCACAGATCCCACATCACCCTCATGCCCATGCACATCCTCAACCATAACAAACAAACCAGGATAGGCATTACCTTGTGCACCTTCACCTTGTGCACCTGAGCCTTGCACAGCGCCACCTTGTGCGCGTTCACCACTGGGCGGCTTCATGCCTGGAGGTGCCCATCCCTCCAGCCTGCTGAAGCACTTGAACCAAGGATGCCCAACCTTCTTGCAGTACCAGCACGTGCCCTCCATTCTGGTACTCCCCCTGCCACTAGAGCTCCCATGCCCCTCATTATAGTCACCTCGGCCTCTACCTCTGCCAAAGCTCCTCCCACGGCCTCGGCCTTTCCAACCCCCTCTTCCTCTGCTGCGCCCTGCAGCTCCATACCCCTCAGCAGTCTTAGTGGCAGCACCGCCTCCCACATGGCGTCTGCGGAAGTCCTCCTGCAGAATCTGCTGCCTTAGCCACTCAGGTGTCCATTGATCTTGCTGAGAGTTGAGGGTGGGGATGAGGTTGTCCCAAGAGTTGTCCAACACCGAGATGATCTTGGTGCACTGCTGCAGCTGAGATACACTGCTGCCCGCTGCTGCCATCCTTGCATAGGTGTCCTTGATCTTGTCAAGGACCGGCTTCACATCGTCCCCTGGTCGCATGGAGATGGCAGCAAGTTCCTTCTCGAGCACGATCACCATCAGGAGAGTGTTGGGCTGAATCACATCGCGTAGTAGTTTCCACGCCCTTGGACCCGAATCATCCGCTTCCACAAGATCCTTGATGTGCTCGAACATCTCCTTGTTGACCGATTGAAGGATGAGGTCGAAAAGCACCGTGCTTTTCTCAATCCACCGTTCACGTGCTTCGCCTTCTTCCGGCATCTTCTCTTCCCCAACAGCAATCTTCAGGAGCTTGTAGCGTTTGAAGGCACTCCTCATCCGTCCGCTCCATTCCTCATAGTTGGAGCCATCCAAAGCTTCAACTTTTGATGGCGGCGGCTCACTTGTCTTCTCAGCTACAGCTCCTCTTCCATTAGCATCTCCTCCTCTCTCATTCATCTTCTCCTTGAGAAATGACGAATTTCAGCCCCCCTTTGCTGTCCACACTCAGCTCCCTCGATATTTTCACAAGTGTCGGCGTCCACGAAATTTCGGCAGAGTTTCCCTTAGCGGAAGACACATCCAACCTTTAGAACACCACTTAGGCACACCCACAGGCCATGGTGGGTCTAGAAGGGTCTTCACACTTCTGTAGACTCCTCTCAACGTCCTTAATACAGCTCTGATACCACTTGTTAGGATTAAGGACAGAGTCTAGGTGAACTTAGGAGCTAGAATTACTCAAAATATAAATCCGAAATTCTGGACAGAAAAGTCGTCTTCACAAGAAACGACGTCGACAAAACACTAGCCGTTGGAATGTCGCGAAACTTGGATATGTTGTAGCTCTTGATCTCAGCTACCGTTCCCAATTTGAATCACGTTGATTGATGAAGTATTCGCGACGCTATGGCTTTCGACGCACTAGGGGGTAAGCTGTAGGAGGAGAACTTAACTCAATCTCAAGAGTTCAATCAAAGTTCAAGAATCTCACAAGGAATTAGAAGGAGCAAGAGAAAGGTTGGGATAGAAGAGAGGGATGAGAGGGAAGGTCCCAAGAGAGTCCCCAACCAAGGAAACCCCATAAGCACAAAGATTCCCTCCCTATAGGAACCCCAACTTTGACATTTGTCCCTTCCCAACCAATCCATCCAAGTTGGCCACCCTTGCCAACCTAGCTTGGTTGTTCCCAACCAATTTGCAGCTGTTACAGTAGAGTGACGAATTTCCCCAACCCCAAAGGTCCCAACTCCATATAAAGTCACCCCACAACTTCACTTTGTAACCGCCGCAATTGTAACGCAAGCTCATGAACTTTGAATCTTCATAGCTTTCGCGTTGTTGCTCCAATTGAAGAGATTCTTGTTGCGTCGGAAAGATCTTCTCAAGATCTATCATCACAAATACCTGCTCAAACAAAATAACACATAACACATTCCCAAACTCCAGAACACACACCACACAAATGCTTGCACATTCAAACCACACATGCAAGTTGAAAAAACATGGGATGGGAGGCAGACAGAATGTGATAGCATATGATGACATCACACAACAGCTTACACTCTGATCGAGGTGGCGAGTTCGCCTCTGGTACTCTAGGACGTTTCTGCCGTGCGGAGGGCATCCGCCAGACGTACACACTACCGGACTCCCCACAGCAGAATGGGGACGCTGAGTAATGCATCGGCCCTGATCATGGAGGTGGCTTGCACCTCCATGGTCCATGCCGGTGCACCCCGTTTTCTGTGGCCGTTCGCTGTGTGCTACGCTACTCACCAGCTTAACCTGTGGCCGCACTCCCAGCGGAGAACATAAGTGCAGATCGGTAAGAGAGCCCGAGGGAACTGTCGGACAGGAAAGGGTGGTGGAGCTACGTGCATCTACCTGACCGGAGAGGGGTCAGCGAGCGCGATAGTTGCAGGGGCGGCAAGCGGCGTGAGTGCGGTGTTGTCGCGAAAGAAGCAGGCGAACAGACTTGAGTCTAGAGTGAAAGAGAGCGTGATGGTAGCGTCAGCCAGCGCAGGGGGCAGCGTGGAGCCTAGGCTAAACAAAGCAGGATGTCCTACGCCTGATGCAGCAGAGGAGCCTAGACTACACACATGGGGCACACCTATATTAGGCAATACAGGATAATAAGATCCAGTCACACAAGAGTCATCATCATACAAGGCATACAAAGCAGAGCAAATATGATCCTTATCCATCTCAAAGACCAGCACACGGCGACGTACGAGACTGTGCCAGTCGAGGAGGTTCGGCGCAGGGCCGAAGCGGAGACGGAAGAGTTCTCGAGGCGGCAGTAGCAGCGGGCGCCAGTGTGACCTGGACGGCTACACACAGTACCACGAAAGGGACCAGTTTTTAGCTGGTACTGGCAACTCACAGGGCTGAAGCTGCCACTCGACACTGAGATGCGAGGACCGCCACCGCGGCCACCACCAACAGAGGCGCCAGGCCACCCGGGCGGGAGGCGACCCAACGGCTACTGATGCTGCTGTTGCGACTGCTGCTGCTATTGCTGCTGCAGCAGTGGCGGCTGATGCTGCTGCTGCTCCGGGGGAACAGACCCGATCCCCTCGTCGGTGCTGTCGGCACTCACACCACCTCCACCACCACCGCCAAACCCACCACCCCTCCCTCCGCCACGCCCCCCCTTGGGGCGGCGGCCCTTACCCTGACGAGGCTGTGCTGAGGCCGCCGTGGCGGCAGTCTCAGCAGCAGGGGCTATCTCAGCGACAGGCGCGAACTAGGGGTCGGCGAGCCGAGGCGAGCGAGCGAGGGGCCGGCAAGCGAGGGGCCGACGAGCTAGGGGCCAGCGAGTGAGGGGCAGCGAGCGAGAAACGGCGGCAAGCGAGGGGCCGGCGATTTATGGACCGGCGAGCGCGGGGCCGACGAGCGCGGGGCCGGCAAGCGCGGGGACGGCGAGGGCGGGGACGGCGAGCGAGGGGCCGGCGAGCGTGGAACCAGTGAGCGTAGGGCCAGCGAGCGAGGGGCCGGCTAGTGAGGGGCCAACAAGTGCGGGGCCAGAGAGCACGTGGCCAACGAGCTATCGTGGCTAGGGCAGGCTAGGGCGGACTAGGGCGAGCTAGAGCGGCTGGTGCTAGGGTCCCAGGAGGGAAGGTGCCAGTAAAGCCCTGAGGGCGACGCAAGTAGACCTGCTCGTGTAGGCTGCCATGAAGGAATGCAGTGGAGAAGTCGAGAGAGTGAAGCTCGTAGTCACGCTGAGCAGCTAGGTGTAACAGAACCCGAAGAGTAGTCATCTTCGGGGTCGGAGCGAAGGTCTGGAAGAAGTCCACCCCCTCACGCTGACTGAAGCCTCTAGCCACGTAGCGCGCCTTGAACACAGGCGGCTCTCCAGGAGGGCGCTTCACCTTGAAGAGCCAGCGGCCATCGACTACGTTCACCCCAGGCGGGGGAACTGCGTCGACGAAGGTGCCGGTGGATCTCCAAGATGCCATCTCCTGCTCCATGGCAGCTATTCACTGAGAGGCCCAGGGTCCGGAGGTTGCCTTAGCGTAGGTGCGAGGGGTCGGGATATCGGAAGCGTCTGGGTCACCCTCAGAGAATAGCGGCATGGAACAGAGATGGGGAGCAGCCTCGGACAGGAAAGCAAGCTCGAACTGGCGGTCCTCCAAGACATCACTGCCGAGGGCAGGAGCACCCCCGACAGACGGAGGACAGGCAGGGTCAGAGACCAGAGCGGTGGTGTAGTCAAGGCGGCGGGTAGAGGTGAAGTCAGCGACTGCAGCGACAAGAGCGTCAAGACACGAGACCGGAACAGACGGGTCGGTAACGAGAGAGGCGAGGACCAGAGGAACAAGAGGACGAGCGGCACGAAGGTAGTCAGACAGAGGAGGAGGCGCAACGGTAAGAGAGGACGGAGGAGGCGACGGTAGAAGGGGAGGACGAGACGCGTGGGAACGGAGCAACATAGGGTGAGAGCGCGGGACAGGGGAGACAGGACGAGCGCGGGAGGGACAGCGGGACCAGACGTGAGACGGAGGCGTCGGGTCAGGAGACAGAGGAGGGGACACAAGGGGGGAGCGAGGGGGAAGACTAGCCGAGGACGAGTCTGGCGGAGGGAACACAGGGCCGTAGACAGGAAGAGGAGGAGACGGCAGGAGAGGAACGGACGCAGGGCCAGGGGACGGAAGGCCGAGCAGACGAAGGGCTGACACCGGTGGGGACTGCTGCTGCGGCGGCACAACACCAACACCGGGACCGCGAGCTGCTCCTCGGCTACCTCTGGGACACTCCACTCCGGCACCCCCAGAAGGAACACCCCCAGAGCCCAAAACCCCCCGAGCACCAGGACCACCCCCAGGGCCACTGGGGCAGGCCACAACAGGAACCCCAGAACGAGCACCCACCCCAACGCGGGCACCCCCAGAGTCGACGAACTGCTGCTGCGACGATGGCGGCGGCGGCGGGGGGAACGACGGGTGCGGCGGCGATGGCAGCGGAGACGACGGCTGCGACAGCAGGGGCGACGGCGGCTGCAGAGGCTGGGGGGGAGGAGACACCGGGGGAGGGGCAGACGGCGAGGACTGCGCCGCAGGACCACCAGAGTCAGAGGACTCCTCGATCGGGACAACTGACGGGAGAGGGGTGACGTGGGACACACCAGAGGGGGCAGGACGGGGAGGGGGAGGGGGGGGGAGCAGGGACCACAGGGGAAGGAGTGACCACGAACAGGGGGGGAGTAACCGGGGGACCGCGGTGGGGGAAGCGACGGTAGAAGGAGACGGACTCGTCAAAGGTGACGTCCCGAGAGTGAAAGAACCGGTGAGACGGCGAGTGGTAGAAGTGCCAGTCGGACGCGTCAAGAGGGAAACCTAGGAAGATGCAGGTAAGGGTGCGGGCAGTGAGCTTGTCCGTGCCAGAGGCACGAACGTGAGCAAGGCAGCCCTAGACGTGGAACGCAGACGTGTCACCAGGAGACCCGGTCCAAAGAAGGGTCGGCGAAACCTGCGGTCGCTGGGGGTGCGGCCACAGGTTAAGCTGGTGAGCAGCGTAGCGCACGGCGAACGGCCACAGAACATGGGGTGCACCAGCTTGGATCATGGAGGTGCGAGCCACCTCCATGACCAAACCGATGCGTCGCTCAGCGACCCCATTCTGCTGCGGGGAGTCCGGCAGGGTGAACGTCTGGGTGATGCCCTCCGCACGACAGAAGCGACCAAGGACACCTGAGGCAAACTCGCCACCACAGTCGGAGTGAAGACGCAAGACAGGGAGACCTCGATGGACACGCGCAGAGACAAGCCAGGGGATGAGAGCGTCAGGCACGTCGGCCTTGCACTCCAGGGGAAAGACTGTGGTGTAGCGAGTTAAGTCGTCAACAAGCACGAGGAAGTAGCGCTCTCGACGCGGCCCATGGACGGGGGCGGGGCCCCAAATCTCCATGTGCATGGTCTGCAGTAGCGCGGCGGTAGGGGGAAACGAGGAGGAGTGAGGGGCACGGCGAAGCCGACCCTCGACACAAGGCGTGCAAGGTGGGGCGGGGGAGGAGGGAAAAGCGGGGAACGAACCAGGGAGACCAAGGACGAGACCGTGCTGGGACATGTGACGCAGACGCGGGAGCGCGGGGTGACCTAGGCGGTGGTGCCAAAGGAGAGTCGGGTGAGTGAGGGACCGACAGGAGTAGGCAGCAGCAACCTGGGTTGACGCAGCCACCTGAAGGGGCGCCCCAGCCGGGGGGGTCACGATGTCCAGAGTGAACAGGCCGGACACCGGGTCCCGGGGGAACGTGGACAGGGGGGCACCAGTGGCGGCCTCGGTACAGACAGCATACCACTCGTGCCCAGGGAACGTAGTGGTGACGCCAAGGTCCTGGAGGCAGCCGACACCAACAAGTTTCCTGGAGAACGAGGGGATATGCAGACCTGTGAGAGAGCCCGAAGGAACCGCCAGACAGGGAAGCGTGGTGAAACTGCGAGCGACTACGGGAAAGCCGGAGGGGTCAGCAAGAGAAACTGCAGCAGGAATAGGAAGCCGCGTCAGCGTAGTAGAGTCGCGGAAGAAACACCGGGAAGCGCCAGAGTCCAAGGTGAAGGAAAGCGAAGTAGTGGCATCTAGCGACGGGGCGACGGCGGAAGCACCAAGGCTAAACAAAGCAGAAGCTCCTACGCCTGATGCAGCAGGGGAGGCTAAGCTAGGCACACCTACACTAGGCGACAAGGAGTAATAAGAGGGGAGCACACTAGAGTCATCAGCATACATCACATGCAGGGCAGAAACAATGGCATACATGTCCATGTAAAAAATCTGAACTCTACGACTAAGCAAACTGTGCCAGTCCGGGAGGTCGGGCGACGGGCCGAAGCGCTGACGAAACAGGTCGTCCAAGCGACGAAAACAGCGGGCAGGGGCGTGACCAATCTTACCGCAAATGAAGCTGCGGCGAGGACCGGTCTGGATCTGGTACTGACAGCGCACTGTACCTAGTTTTGCTAGTAACTAGTTTGCTGCCTGTCCTCGGTACAAATTGTCCGGATAAGTTGTTATTAAATGCTGTC